CACATTCCTTCTTTCCACAGCTATCTGTAATGCCTCATCAGACAGCCAAAAAAGATATTTTAGAACAAAATATGTATTTTTGGTTTTTTTTTTTCCTTTGTTCAAAAAGTAAATCCACTACAATTTTGCATTCCAAATCAGGTTACTAAGTCTCAGTACGGGGATCCTATCTAAAGAAAATAAATGGCTACCTCTTTTAAGGTGTATTCACGAAAGGATGATGGGAATGGGTGTTCCATCACTATTCCTATCACTCCCCTGATCCTAAAGGGAAGGTTTACAGAAAAACTGTAATTCTGTTCAGCTGAAAAATTACTGTAGTTTCCCGCGACCTTCCCTTTCAAAAAAGGACAGTCAGAAATGGAGGTAATAGATCCAGAGGTATGAGTGCTAGTCTCTCATCCTGACTTTATTTCTTTAAAATCTCAAGAGAGGTTTTCCTCATTTTAAAACACACACACACACACACTCATTATCTAGACACTGACCTTCCTTAAGAGGAATATCAAAATTAGCTGTTCTAGTTACTATTGGTGCTTAATTAAATGTGAGTGAGGGGAAATGCTTCTGTGGGGAAGTGTGTTTGGAGAAAAACCATAAATAAATACATTCCTTGTATACTAAACAAGTACTAGTGCTCCATATAAATTCATGCAATACTATCCAATTAAATTATTAGCATTTAAATCAGTAGTTCTCTTTTGGATGCTGGCTTTACTGCAGGTCCAGTGGAGGTGCCTAGGGAGGAGTCTTGCCCTGTTATCTGGGAATGGTTTGAACCTGTTGGATCTGAGGAAGTGGACAGGGTCCTTGGAGCTGTGAGCTCAGCCACCTGCTCTTTAGATCCATGCCGCTCCTGGCTTGTGAAAGCAGCCTGGGGGGTAGTCGTGCAAGTGGGTTCTAGTGATGGTTAATGCATCTTTGAGTGAGGGGGTTGTTCCCTCACCTCTTAAGGAAGCCTTGGTTCATCTCCTTCTCAAGAGGCCATCGCTAGATCCCACTATACTGGACAGTTTTTGTCCAATATCTAACCTCCCCTTTTTGGGGAAGGTGATTGAGAAGGTGCTTGTACAACAGCTTCAGAGGACCTTGGATGAAGCAGATTATCTGGATACTTTTCAGTCGGGATTCAGGCCTGGGTAAGGGACTGAAACAGCATTGGTCATGCTTTTGGATGATCTCTGGCAAGGGCAGGATAGGGGTTGTGCATTCATCCTTGCCGTACTTGACCTCTCAGCAGCTTTCGACACCATCAACCATGGTATCCTTCTGGATCAGCTCAGAGGATTGCGGGTGGGCAGCACTGTGTTGTGCTGGTTCACCTCCTTCCTCCAGGGCCGATTCCAATTGGTGGTGGTTGGGGAGGACAGTTCCCACCCTCGGCCCCTGTTATGTGGTGTGCTACAGGGTTCGGTGCTCTCCCCCCATCTATTTAACATCTACATGAGGCCGCTGGGTGAGCTTATCCATCACCATGGGGTGAGGTATCATCAGTATGCTTATGATATCCAATTATACATCTCTGCCCCTGGCAAATTAAGCAATGCTGTGAATGTCTTATCTCGGTGTCTGGAGGCTGTGAGTGTCTGAATGGGGAACAACAGGCTTCAACTGAACCCTGGCAAGACTGAGTGGCTGTGGGTTCTGGGGCTTTCTGGTGCTAGAGTTATGCCATCTTTGGTACTGAATGGGTTTGCACTGCCCCAGACACACCCTGTGTGCAATCTGGGGGTCCTCCTGGACTCACAACTCGAAGAGCAGGTGGCAGTCATGGCTAGGTGGGCCTTTGCACAGCTTCACACTGTCACACATGCCCTGGTCCTCTCCCGTTTGGATTTCTGTAATGTGGTCTACATGGGGCTGCCCTTGAAGAGTATCCAGAAGCTTCAGCTGGCGCAAAATGCAGCAGCACAGGCAGTTATCTGTGCCCCTAGGGTGGTACACGTTACACCTATGCTTTGCGAGCTGCACTGGTTGCCATTTTGCTTCTGGGTACAATTCAAGATGCTGGTTTTGACCTTTAAAGCCCTTCATGGCAAGGGGCCGGGTTACCTGAGGGACCACTTCTCCCTGATTACATCTGCCCATCCCATCAGATCTGGCAGAGAAGGCATGCTGCAGATCCCATCTGCTAGAGAATTACATCTGGCAGGGCCGAGGA